TATATATATATATATAACCTACTACATAGTTGTAGTAGGTTATCATTGTATACATATTTGATTTGCCCGAATTATCCCTCGTTATTTACCGCCACTACATCAAACTTAAGGACATCCTTGTCATTTTACAGAATTCCAAATTTCATCTCTACATTTCCCAAAAATAAACCCCAACTTTCCAGAATTCTTTCCCGTAATCCCTTCACCTCCCTTCTCTTCTCAATCTATCCATACGAAGAACATATCGTGGAAATGGAGTCATGGATATTTGCAAAGATGAAGTAGAAGAAAAATCTGAGCTTCGTCTTCTACTTTCAACATCATTTTTGTAAGCGTAATTTAAATCTTCCATGAATTTCACCTAAATTCCCCCAATTTTTCATACTCCTCAAATTTTGATATCGCAAAACGTTTGAAATATGAAGATCAGATTTGACTATTAATCACAGAACTAAGGCTTCAAGGTTGATCAGTTCTAGACTTCAAATTGAATTTCGTTTTGTTAGAATGAGCATCTTTAATTGATTGCTCTGTTGCAAGGTTGATACTCCACAGCGTAACTTTTTTCTAAAATGCATAAAAAATATGAAGATAACCCAGAAAGAATGCTTCTCCATCTAGGCATCTACCATCTTGAATAATTGCTACAGTTTTTTTCTTTTTCGACGAATTTTTGAGAGATCCAGAAAAATAAATGTCTTTGGATTTTCTTATTCAGTCACTCTTCTCTTCCAAGAGATAGCTGAAGTTGCAGTGCGCTACTAGGGACTTCTAGATGATGACAAGGAGTTGTCTGCAACTTTTTTTAATTTTGTTTTGGTAAAACGACATAATTACCTATGACATATCAAGGAACTTAAAAGCAATAGCAGGAATAATTTGGACAAATCAAATATGTATACAATGCTAACCTACAACAACCATGTAGTATATATATAGAGAGAGAGAGACACACACACTATATTAAAAGCACGAAGGCCCTTAGCGAAATGTCGTTCGTCTCTTTTACCCTTTAAAATATATATTTCACACCAGACAAAATAGTCATATTATTATTTCCATAATATTTAGGGTTTTAAAGTCACCTAAAATCACGGAATTTTTTTTATATTTTTTGGTAAGAAAATTAGAAAAGCTTGCATTCAAGTTATTCAATAATTATTTGTTCCTTCGTTGGACATCTAATAATATTAGGATTCAACAATAAATTTTGTTCGTCCTTGAGAAGGAACAACAATCAAGGAGGAACTCTTCAAAAAGCGATTCAAATGACAATTCTTTGTCGCCTATTTTCTCATATTTATGAAACATCGAAGCGTGTGGAAAAACACATGAAGATAATCAAGTGCAAGATCCAGAAAGCAAATTGCTATACAATTCTGTGTTGATAAGTTAGAAAATATGAGTTAGAAATTTACTATATTTAAGACCCAACTTTTTTTATTTTTGCTTCTTTTTGTTGTTTTATGGATGATTTCTTTGTTAAATTTGGGGCGACAACATGTTTTATTTTGATGAGTAAGAGATTAAATTTAAACTTAACACGTAATCTTTTTATGGTTGCACATTTGGAATTTGCAGGAATAAAGCGGTTTGCATAAATTATATTGTGGAGGAGATCATTAGCAAGTAACAATGTTAAAGAGTACTATCCTATCTATCTATCGTTTGAACCCACAAACCTATAGGCACCATAGAAATAGTAATCCTTTGACTTTCTCTTAGTTTTAAATCTGTTGTTGTTTGACATAGAATATTTTGTTCATTATTTGAAATTAGTTCTCCTCATTCTTTCTTTCTTATTTTTGATATTTTGAATTTTTTGTTTGAAAATACTTTTTATGTTTTTAGTTTAGTCTTAACAAAAATATTTAAGTTTCATTTATTATGTTATAAAGTTTTGGATAATTTCAATTCCAGCTATGATGGTTTGGGTATGAAAAGTTTAGTATTTAAAACTAATATTTTAGTTGTTATAAATATTATCAGTTTACATTTATTCCAAAAAATGACAACTCCTTATATGTTTTTAAGTTAAGTTATTTGTTGCAAAAAATTAAATTAATATTAGTCATGTTGGACTTTATACTGTCAATTATCAAGTTTTTAGAGATAGCTAAATGAGATTAATATTCATTATTTTCAATACTTGCACCTTTTTTTATTTATAACTCACAAACATTATTTGATAATATCTATGCTTTTTAAAACTATATATTCATTGGTATGGGTACACGTGTATCGGTGTATATATACATATATTGCATTTTAGGTTAAAACTAAAAAATTAAAAAATATGAACAATAATTTTAAAAATGATGGGCCGGCCCATCCCAGTCCGTAAAATGCCAAAGCCCGTGTGGGCTGGGCTAAGCTGGGCCGGGCTAGCCCGTATTGACAGCAATAGTTAATTATATGCAACGGTGTCAGTTATGCTTCACTAGCCTGGTTACTACCGGGGTTTCTAATGGTAAAGTCGATGACACTGTATGACAATCAAAAGCTGATGCCTCTCTGTTGTCTTGGTCATCCAACTCCAGTTTCTCTTTCTATTTATATATTATATTAAGCTCCGGAAATTTTTGTCCTAGCTAGTTTATATTGTAGAATTTCATAGCCATGATCCTTGTTGAAAAAATCATAGCCATGACAATGCACTCGAATGTCACAGCTTGCTTATAGAAATTCTTCAGGTCATTATTAGTGTGGAGGAATAAATCTCAAATCTCATGATTCATAATGCAATATCATCACTAAGGCACCCATCCAGATGTACCTACAGTGCAAAAGCCTAAAAGACTGATGATAAGTTTCTGCACAAGTAATAAATGAAATATTAACACACACACACACGCGGAAAAAGGAAGTTTAGTTTTTGATTAAAACCCCCCTTGCTCAGTTTAACTTAATAAGATTGAGTAACTTGATAATGAAAAAGCTCCAGTGGGGAGTCCTAAAAATATATTTACAGAGAAAAAAATGAATACTTGTATACAAACAGATAACTGACACACTTCAAACATACATAATTAAGTGTTCCGCCAAGGGACAAGCATCATAGCTTACCTCAATGGAGCCAATATTTGTTGCACCTATGGCTGCCATTGCCATAAAACCTTCTTGCCATTTACCTTCGAGCACAATCTGATAATAGGCAGAAATCACAAAAGGGAGAATACACATCATTTTGTTAGACATTGGTCACAGAGAGAATGAGCAAGAATAATCAGAAGAAAAAAGAAATCAGAGGATATGCGAGGAACTAGGAATATGTAACTGAAAACAATAACATTGACATTTGAAAGGAACAAACAAGTAAAAACTTTCTATTAGGAGGACTTCTCTACGGGATTTGAACCTTGAATTCCAAGGTTTGCAGCTACTTCATAGACCACTAGGTCACACGTGGGACTACTATCGTCCTTATTATACCTTGAGCACATATATTCCTTTATTTTAGAATAAGTAGCAGGCCCAATCAATCTTGATGCAATGGACTCCTTTGGTCTTACTGTATTCCCAAATGAATTATTTAAAAGCAATGGAAAATGTCATTTGTTTTGAAAACAAAACGCAATTGGGTCTTTTTTCCCAATTTCATTCTATCCCAACCACGGTTATTTTAGTTGCTGGCAGACTTTTTCCTTCGATTTTGTGGTGATCCTCTTGTCTGGGCTTTTTTTTTTTTGGTGACTCGGAGGAAAAAAATATGGGAATTGCTTTTTACTCTAGTCACATGAAAAACACATGATTTCTGTTAGTTTTAGTGGCCCCATTTGGATGTTCCGCCCATTGAACTAAGAGTGCTTAGTTCTAGAAAACTTAAAGGACCCTATATGCTCAAGATAATACAATAGGGACAAAACCAACCTTCAAACTTAACAGATGTAAAATTTCAACTGGCTCACCAAGTTCTCCATAAAGAGGGACATACATGGCAGGTTCAATCATAACATTCCATGAGACTAAAAATTTATGCATAACTTGCTTCTGGTGCAAATAACAACAGCAATAACTACTTTATAACCTCTTTCGGAGAAGTCACCATCTCAAAAAGATCAAGAAAAAAACAGGGAATTGAATGCATCTACAGCATAGTTAATCAGATTTTACCCTTTCATTCTCCACGTAAAGATTTCTTATTGTCCTGGTAGCTCGTTCATTCATGGGAAAGAGACGACCTATCAAACAAATGAATGGAATAAATTAACCACCGGTAGAAAAACAAAAGGTCAGTCCGGTGCACAAGGCATCCCGCGTCACACAGGGTCCGGGGAAGGACCGAACCCCAAGAGGTGTGATGTAAAGAACCTACCTAATGCAAGCATTAATGGCTACTTCTATGGCTCGAACCCGTGACCTATAGGTCAGAAGGAAACAACTTTATTGTTGCTCCAAGGCTCCGAGTCCTTAAGAGGTCTCTTGAATGAATCTAAAAATAGAATTTAGCCAATTGGACAATCTCCCTAACAAGTCCCATAATTCCTTAACAGGTGACTCAACCACGCTGAGTGGCCTTAAGTTTTGCAAATTGATATGTTAATACATTTTCCTATGGGGTACAAGTATCTGATTGTATACAAACATGATGGTCATTATACTAATGTCCTCTATGTTAGTTTCAGTCACATAATTCGTTTCATTATCATATCAAATACGGTTAGAATATGCATGAAAACAGAGAATACCAGTAACCAACCCTCATGTGTTGAAGACACAAATATAGATATACCGGACTATCAATATCGACTAAACGAGAGTGTGGCTGACAAGGTAAAAGAACAAATCAGCCACAGTTTTCTAGACCCCTTTTTTGGGGGAAAGGATAGTGGGTAGGGCTCATCTTTCCCCAGACTAGTTTACTCACTGGTAATCATTCCATGTACAGGAACTGGGGGAAAAAAGGGCTCAAACTACAGGGATTTGATACCTGGCTTTCTTGGTATAAGTAGTTGTCTATATAGGCTGACAACTTTTCCTAGGTTGTTCAGTATCAATGAATTATGGTACCCAAAAGATCCTTTCTGCAAGACCGGTGTATCCTTTCTATATCATTGAAACATGACTTTTTTGGGCAGGGTGGGGTAAAGGGCGCGAGGTGAAGTGATCAGAAAGATAGGACAAATAGAAAACGACGCAAACTGCAAGCTTAATATTGTGGATGAACTCTTTTTAACCAATGGATGCAAACGTGAAGACTTACCAGAGAAATGTCGACGACCAAGAACATTCCAATCAACTGGTGAGTGTATGCGATGATAATCTCCAGGTCTCAAGTAAATCACACAGTAAAAGAGACCTTTCAATGGACTGCAATAAGTCAACTTTCAGTTTCAAATTAAGTAGCATTCTCTCCTTTATCACCAAGAAATTATTACCAAGCGCTAACAAAAAGTGGAAAACATAAGGAAATAAAAAGATAAAAGGTTCACCTGGTGATCGAGTACTACATGTTAGGCACCTGCTAACTAGATATAATTTGTCTAGGAGTATAGATGCTCATTCCCATAAAAATACGTATGTCGTCCAGAATGGTTTAAGAATTAAAATATACAGTTTTAAAGAACTGGACATAGAGCTTTTTTTGGTGGTGGAAAATAAGGAGATGGAAGAAGGTTCCTAGAGAAGATCAAAAAGTGCCTTGGCAATTTTTTATATTCAAAATAGCCTAGTTGGCCTATTCTGCCAACAACCACTATGCATCAAAGAGATGATTAATTGAGGGTAACAGACATTTTCATAATATACCTAAGGTGTTAACATGTTGTAGTATATTATAGATATCCTCACAGCACACAGTTTAACATTCATGTGATTACCATGCTGGTGCAGGATCTCGGACTTTGGGAGAAGCCAATGAAACTCTCCACCAAGACTTTTGATTTGCATCATCCGTAGAACCCTCTTGCCCACCATCTTCATTTGTATTGTCATCAACCACAGCCATGGGAAGAAGGGAGCTGGCACCAAGAAGTGAAGAAGCAGAATAAGAGAATCCTTTGACTTGCTCAATCATAGCCCCAGCTTTTTTCAACTCCCCAAATTGGAGAACAGTACCATCAACTGGACTAACCTACAGCCATATAAACCAACTCAAAAAGGTCAGAATATTTGATAATCTGCAATATTTAGAAACACCAAGAGAACCAAGAGATAACTAGGAAGCTGGTTACCAGTTACCAGACAACATGGATTGCAATCAATAGGCCTGGTACCCTCTTTCAATCTTCTGACAAAGAACTCCCCTAAAGATGCATATTCTTCCAAAGGCAAAGCTACTTCTTCCAAGTCTGGATTCAAAAATGGAGTTCTCTAAATACTGCCATCATCAAAAGCTTATCTTGACATTCTCAATGTGTCATAGAATAACAATGAAAATCTAAAGCATCGAGATTGTAAGAAGAAGCTATGAAAGTTTGGATAATCAGTTGAGGAGAAAGAAAAAAGGAGTAGCTTGTAAGCTTGATTTAGAGAAGGCTTATGATCATGTCAATTGAGATTGCTTATTGAAATTGTTCAAACTGATGAATTTTGGTGAAAAATGGTCGAAGTGGATAAGATTTTGCATTTCATTGGTGAAATTTTCCGTTTTAATTAATGGAAATCCACAAGGCTTTTTCAGTTCTCACAGAGGTATCAGGCAAGAAGATCCCCTTTCACCCCATTTATTTGTCTTGGTAATGGAAATCTTTAGTAGTTCGCTGAGTTAAGCAGAAGCTCTGGGATGGATTAGAGGTCTCAGAATAGGCAAGAATGATCAGGAAGGGATGATACTTACTCATATCCTCTATGATGATGACTCTCTCCTGTTTTGTGAAGGAGAGAGAGTACAAATCCTGTATTTTAGAAGGGTGCTACTATGTTTTGAGGCAGTCAGTGGATTAAAAGTCAATTTGGCTAAAAGTAGCATTTTTAGTATAAATGATGATGAGATTATGGGCTGTAAAGTAGAAAATTTCCCTACTGTCAATTTGGGGTTACCTTTAGGGGCAAAGAGAAAGGATAAAAACATTTGGCAAGGTGCCATTGAAAGGTGCAGCAATAAACTTACTCCATGGAAGAAGCAATACTTATCTTTTGGGGGCAGGCTGACTCTAATAAATAGTGTCTTGGATGGGATACCCACATACACCATGTCCTTATTCAGTATGCCTAAATAAGTAGAAAAGAAATTAGATTCTATAAGAAGGAACTTTTTGTGGGATGGAAGCTCAGACAAGTAGAAGTCACATCTGGTTAAATGGCAAATGGTTATTGAAGATAAAAAGAGAGGTGGACTAGGAGTGAGGAATCTGAAATTGCACAATAAAAGCTTACTATTTAAATGGGTATGGAGATATAGTAGAGAGGGTGAGGGAGTTTGGCAGAAAATAATAGATGCCATTTATGGTGCAAAGATTGGGTGGAAACAAATTCCTTCTCAACTGAGAAGTTGTGGCGGGATTTGGAAAATGATTGGTGGCTGGTGGGACGAATTTTTACAGCATACCAGTTTGGAGTTGGAAAATGGTGGTAGGATAAAATTTTGGCTGGATATTTGGTGTGGTAATGAGAGCTTCAAAAGCAGATTTCCAGATCTATTTAACTGTGTGTTAAATAAAGAGGCCTATGTTGCAGGTTTTAAAGCAGAATTAGGATGGAATGTTCAGAAGAAATCTGAACGACTGGGAAGTGGATAGTTTCTGTGAACTGCATCAACTTCTGAATTCATGTTCAATAGATCAGCACAAAACAGATAGGCTAATTTGGATCGGCAGCAGGGATAATATATTCACAGTGAATAATTGTTACAAAATGTTGCAACAACAAACTAGTCAGGGAACTCTAAACTGGCCTTGGAAGATGATTTGGAGAACTAAAGCACCTATGAAAGCAGCTTTTTTTGGTTGGCTAGCAGCTAGGGATGCCTGCCAAACCCAGCATAAGTTACAGAGGAGAGGGTTTTCTCTGTGCAGTAGATGTTATTTTTGCAACTCAGAGGAGGAAACAGTTGAGCATCTCTTCTGGCATTGCAAATTTTCAAGATAATGCTGGGAATTTTTCTTGAACGTAATGGGCATACTCAGAAGATTAGTAGCTTGCTGGAAATGTGGCAATCCCAAAGAGTAAAAAGGAGCTTAAAGCTAATATGAAAAAATATTCCCAACTGCATAACGTGGACATTATGGCTGGAGCGAAATGGCTGCAGATTGCCAGAGTCAAAAACAAATGTATTAAAAACTTGTATTTCTGGTGTTATAGCAGTTCTTTAGATGAGATGGACCAGTATTTGGATTTTTGCACTTGTTAGGAGAAAATATGTAGTATGAATTAAGTAAGAGTTGTAGTCTGGTCCTGTCACTACAAGAAAATATGGAATTTACAACAATGTTTTAGCAACAACTGAAATATTGTTGGCAAAAATGGATAAATGGCAACAATTCCACAAATTTGTTGCTATAGAATAAACTTTTTTGCTACAAATTTTTATTGTTGGCAACCGTATTAATTTTGTTGCCATATTCTATGATTCAGATAATAAAATTTAAATTTTAAAAATATTCTAGCAACAATTATGGTATTGTTGCCGAAT